AGGCCAAGCGGGTCGCGCACGCGTGTGCCCGGAGCCCTCCTCTTCATCCACCTCCTCCTCATCACCCTCCCCCCTACTCCCTCCCTACTCTTTCCCCCTCCCCCTCCTCCCGTCGTCGTCCGCCTCCTCCTGCTCCTCCTCCTCCTCCTCCACCTCCTCCTCCTCCTTCTCCTTCCCCTCCTCCTCCTGCACCTCTTCCTCCTCCTCCTCCTCATCATCATCAACATCATCATCATCAACATCATCATCATCATCATTATCATCAGCAGCATCATCATCATCACCATCATCAGCATCATCATCAACATCAGCATCATCATCATCAGCATCATCATCATCAGCATCATCATCAACATCATCATCATCAGCATCATCCTTCTCCCCTCCTACTCCCTCCCTACTCCCTCCCCTCCCCCTCCTCACGTCGTCGTCTTCTTCCTCCTCCTCCTGCTCCTCCTCCTCCCCCTCCTCCTCCTCTCCGCCTGTCCCCGCAGCTAAGCGACCTGCTCGCGGACCTCACGGGCGAGCTCAAGGCGTTCAAGCAGCACGCCGCGCGAGCCCTCGAGGACGGGCCGCGGCCGCGTTGGGGGTGCATTTGGCGAGGTGGCGCCAGCCGCGCGAGAAGGAGGCGGTGGCGGCAGGGCAGGGAAGGAGGGGGGGACGGGAGGAGGAGAAACGGAAGGAGGAGGAGGCGGAGGAGGAGGAGGAGGAGAAGGAGGAGGAGGAGGAGGAGGAGGAAAACGACGACGACGGCGTGAGGAGGGGGAGGGGAAGGGGGAGTGGAGGGAGTAGGGAGGGGAGGGAGTAGGGGAATGAGGAGGAGGAGGAGGAGGAAGGAGGAGGAGGAGGAGGAGGAGGAGGAGATGAGACGGAGGAGGAGGAGGAGGAGGAGGATAGGAGGAGGAGGAGGAGGAGGAGGAGGAGGAGGAAGAGGCGAGGAGGAGGAGGAGGAGGAGGACGAGGAGGAGGGGCGGAGGAGGAGGGGAGGGGAGGGGGAGGGGGAGGGGGAGGGGGAGGGGGAGGAGGAGGAGGAGGAGGAGGAGGAGGAGGAAGGAGGAGGAGGAGGAGGAGGAGGAGGGAGGAGGAGGAGGAGGAGGAGGAGGAGGAGGAGGAGGAGGAGGGAGGAGGAGGAGGAGGAGGAGGAGAGGAGGAGGAGGAGGAGGAGGAGGCGGAGGAGGAGGAGGGGGAGGAGGAGGGGAGGAGGAGGAGGAGGAGGAGGAGGAGGAGGAGGAGGAGGAGGAGGAGGAGGAGGAGGAGGAGGAGGGATGAGGAGAGGAGGAAGGGAGGAGGGGGGAGGGGGGGGGGAGGGGAGGGGGAGGGGGGAGGGGGGAGGGGGAGGGGGGGGGGCGGAGGAGGAGGAGGAGGCGGAGGAGGAGGAGGAGGAGGAGGCGGAGGATGAGGCTGAGGAGCAGGAGGAGGAGGGCGACAACGTGAGGAGGGGAGGAGGGAACGTGCAGGGAGGGAGTCGGGGGGAGGATTAGGAGGGAGGCGGAGGAGGAGGATGAGGTGGAGGATGAGGGCGAGGACGCGAGGAGGGGTAGGGGTAGGGGGTAGGAAGGGCGTAGGGAGGGAGTAGGGGGGGAGAGGGATGCTGATGATGATGATTATGATGATGATGATGATGATGATGATGATGATGATGATGATGATGATGATGATGATGATGATGATGATGATGATGGGGATGATGATGATGATGATGATGCTGATGATGGTGATGATGATGATGATGATGCAGATGATGCTGCTGATGATGATGATGATGCTGATGCTGATGCTGATGCTGATGTTGATGATGATGCTGATGATGATGCTGATGTTGCTGATGATGCTGATGTTGATGATGCTGCTGTTGGTGGTGATGATGATGTTGATGATGATGATGCTGATGATGTTGATGCTGATGATGATGATGCATATGATGGTAATGATGATTGTGACACTGCTGACGATAATGATGATGCTGCTGTTGATGCTGTTGCTGATGATGCTGATGATGCTGATGATGATGATGCTGAGGATGATGATGATGATGATGATGCTGATGCTGATGATGATACTGATGGTGATGATGATGATGATGATGATGTCGATGATGAGGATGCCGATGATGATGCTGATGAGGATGCTGATGATGATGCTGCTGATGGTGGTGATGCTGATGATGATGTCGGTGATGCTGATGCTGCTGCTGCTGATGATGATGCTGTTGCTGATGATGATGATGATGATGTCGGTGATGCTGATGATGATGATGCTGATGATGCTGATGATGCTGATGATGGTGATGATGCTGCTGCTGATGATGATGACGATGCTGATGATGATGATGGTGATGATGCTGATGCTGCTGATGCTGCTGATGATGATGATGATGATGATGCTGATGATGGTGATGATGCTGCTGCTGTTGATGGTGATGATGATGATGATGATGCTGATGATGATGATGATGATGATGATGATGATGATGATGATGATGATGATGATGATGATGATGATGATGATGATGGTGAGGAGGAGGAGGAGGAGGAGGAGAGAGGAGGAGGAGGAGGGAAGAGATGGCTGAGGAGGAGGAGGAGGAGGAGGAGCGGGAGGAGGAGGAGGAGGAGGGGAGGAGGAGGAGGAGGAGGTTGAGGACGACGACAGGAGGGGTAGGGGAACGAGTAGGGAGGGAGTAGGGGGGGGGGATGATGATGATGATGATGATGATGAGGAGGAGAGGAGGGAGGAGGAGGAGGAGGAGGAGGAGGGGGAGGAGGGGGAGGAGGGAGGAGGGGGAGGAGGGGGAGGGGAGGGGGAGGACGACGACGACGTCGTGCGGAGGGGGAGGGGGAGGGATTAGGGAGGGAGTAGGGAGAAGGAGAAGGAGGAGGAGGAGGAGGAGGAGGAGGAGGAGGAGGAAGAGGAGGAACAAGAGGAGGAGGATGGGGAGGAGGACGACGACGACCACGTGAGGAGGGGCACGGGGAGGGAGTAGGGAGGGAGTAGGGAGGGAGCAGGGAGGGAGTAGGGAGGAGGAGGAGGAGGAGGAGGAGGAGGAGGAGGAGGAGGAGGAAGAGCAGGAGGAGGAGGAGGAGGAGGAGGACGAGGAGGGGGATGCCAGGATGAGAAGGGGAGGAGGTCGAGAATTACGACTGGGTAGAGGAGGGGACGGAGGAGGGGACTGATGCAGAAGAGGGGGGATGGGGAGCAGGAGGCAGATGATGAAGACTCCCCATCGACAATCGGCGCCCATGTCGGGCAACGGTAGCTGTTGGTTTTGTTGTTCATGGTGACATTGTCCCCATGCCTGGCGTGCTAATAGATGATCAGTGGAAGGTGTTTGAGATAGCCCAGTGTGGGTGTACCCCTCTGGCCCCCGCCGACAACGTTAAGACCCTCGGCGTCCTTCTGTGCACCGTGTTCGGTATCGAAAGGCTTCTCTGGACGAACACACGTCAGCGTTTTGAGTTGAGACACGTTTTCAGTATCATCGAGTTGGGCTCGTTCTGGATCATCGCCCTGGGCGCGCGACATTTGGAGCCCCACCCGATCCCTGGACAGCGATCCGTGGTGTCCCGAGCTGAGGAACACGCATCATGGTGGCAACGGCGTCACCATCGGCGATGACGACTACGAGGGCATCGAGATGGACGTTGAGGAGGAGGAGAAGGAGGAGGAGCAGGAAGTGGAGGAGGAGGAGGAGAAGGAGGAGGAGTAAGAAGACGATGGCGGTGGCGGCGGCCTATTGCCTTATCTGACGGGAAGGTGTGGCCGACTACCAGCAGCAGTGCCCAAAGTGTGCCACGCGGCTGGCTTACCCACAGAGCGGCCCCCATTGTTCCCGTCACTGCCCCGTCAGGGGGCCGCATCGAGCCGATGTCATTTTGATTGAGCTTTGTCAATGTCTACGGTTTGACCGCTTATGTCTCCTACCATTCCCTCATCGATTTGGAGATCGTCTGTGGGTGGCTTTAAATATAAGACTTCGTCTTTTGCTCATGCTCATGCTCATGTTTCTCCTCCTCCTTATCCTCCTGCTCTTTTTCTCTCACCGTTCACTCCCAATATCCAGTGCCATGTCTTCCTTTTTCTGCTTCGCCTCATCCTCTCTACCCGAATTACCATACTGTCAACAGGTTTGGCTGTCCAGCGTCAGCGTCCTCACTCGTCACAGTCGACGTTCAACTGGGTACAGCCAAAACACTGAAAGTAGGACCAGTCTGGGCTCAAGAGGTTGTGCCGCTACTTCGATTTAGGTCGTGGAACCACGCCGAGGCTCGCCAACCTTATTCAGCATTCCTTATGGCAGCACGATTGCTGTACCCCGTTCCCTCTCTCTCACCCCTGCAGCAGCCGCCACTTTGGCCCAAGCCACCCTGGCTTTCATTTTCAGAGACCCCTGCCCCTTCCCCAGACCCCCGACGTCTTGATGCTTCTCTTGTTCCCCAAAAAAGTGCACCCCCAGAGGCCTGGGCCCCTTCCACCGGGCCGGCCGGCTCTTGATCCGGCGTGGGTCCTTGACGGCCCCAAGGGCCCGGCCAGGGCACCCAGAAGCCGACTCGGGGCCCAGGAGACGGGTGTCCGTGCAAACGGGGGTCAGCCAGGGCACCGGGGCACCGGATCCTGCAGGATCTTGCGAAGACCCCCTCTGGCTGACCCGGGTTAGCGAGCCGCTCGTGGCCGCGAGGCGGCCGCGCCTATTGTAGGGCGACGATATCTATACATATCCACTGCTCCTGGCCAGGCCAATCCTGGGCCCAAGAGCTGTGTATACGCCCTCCTGGCTTGGCCAGGGAGGCATATACACCGCTCCTGGGCCCAGGATGGGCCTGGCCAGGAGCGGTGGATATGCATAGATCTCGTCGCCCTATATTGGCCGACCCGGGTGTGCGAAGACCTGCGTTGCAGCTTCTTTTTTTTCCTGAACTGCAGTGTTTGGGTTTCCTGCTGACCCGGGTCTGGATTGACCCGGGTCAGAAGGTCCCCGACCGAAAAATCCTGGAACTCCGTCAGGGATGGTGTTCTCCCGACGCGACGGGGTCTGGGCCCCGCAGCCTGCCCCCATGCGCCGCTCGCGGGCCTGCGCGGCCGCCGCCGCCGCCGCCGCGGTGGCCAGCGTGGTCGGCTGCCTGCGGCCCTCCGCCTTCTCGCTGCCGGTGCGGGCCGCGGCGGGGGCCGGCGCCGCTGGCGCGGGCCCGCGGCAGCACCTCCTCGGGGCCGCGGCGGCGGCGGCCGCCGCAGCGCCGGGCTCGGCCTCGAAGCTCTCGGCCCGCGGCAGCGGCGGCGGGGTCGGCGCCGCCGGGCTCGCCCTCGCGTCGGTGGCGGTGGCCGCCGCCTCCGCTGGGCGCCGCCGCGCGGCCGCGATGCGCGCACGCGGGGGCGACGAGGAGGAGAGCGGCTGGACCGGCGCCCTGAAGTGGTCCGCGCTCTCGGGCGAGGTGCCCCTCGTCATGGACAGCATTGCCGTGGCCAAGGTCCTGCCGCACCGCTACCCCTTCCTGCTCGTGGACAAGGTCATCGAGCTGGAGCCGGGGAAGCGCGCGGTCGGCGTCAAGTGCATCACGGCCAACGAGCCGCAGTTTACGGGCCACTTCCCGGACAAGCCTATCATGCCAGGCGTGCTCCAGGTGGAGGCGTTGGCCCAGCTCTTCGGCCTCGTGTGCCTGCAGCCGCCGATGACGGACGGAACCGGCAATCCCGATTTCTTCTTCACGGGCATCGATGGCGTCAAGTTCAGGAAGCCAGTGGTGCCAGGCGACGTCTTGGTGATGGAGGCCACGCTGGAGAAGTTCCGGGAGAAAGCCGGGATTGCCAAAGCGAGTGGCAGGGGTTACGTCGACGGCAAGCTCGCCGTGGAAGTGAAAGAGATGACCTTCGTCATCTTGAAGGAGGACAAGTAGTGAGCGGGCTCCTCTTCTGAACGTGACCGTCAAAGCCTCGCCAACGCCCCGGCCCCTGCCCCCCCCTCCAAGCTCCCTCACCCGATGGCCCGCGCGCGGCTGCGGCGCGTCTGGGGTGGCCTTGGCAAGCTGCAGCGCGGGCCCGCTCCTCTTCTTACGGCACCTCCATCTCCCTGGTTCCCCTGGTGCTGCTCCTTCTCTTTTCCGCATGTCTCTCCTTGTCCTCCTCGTCATCCTCCTCTTCATCCTCCCCCTTCCGCCTCCATCCAAGCATCCGCCCCTTCTCCATGCTTCTTGTCGTGCTCCTCTTCCGCCACGTCATGATCTCGACCATCAGCAGCTACTCCGTGACAGCCACCATTTCTCACCCTCCTCCCACCCGTACGGAGGCATGTCGAGGCCGGGGCGGCTCTCAGATCGGCCTGCCAGCCTGCACCACGCCTTCGACGGCGTTGGCGCGAGCGTGTGGCCGCATGCGGACAGTGCTTCGCGGCACGGCCACAAGCGCAGTTTCAACGACGCGTGTTTGACTTAGGGCGGTTATTTGTTGGTGGAGTCGTGGAAGCGGCACGCCATATCTCAAAGGACGGATAACGGTATACGGTGAGCTGCTCGCCGTCGGGGACGCTTGCCCCAGAACGGCAGGAAAGTTTGTGCCAATGCGGTGGCATGTTTGGGTGTATATATATATATATATATATATATATGTTCGATCCGCCTTGTCGCACGCATCCCTGACGGCGGAACAGTTGATTTTGTCAGAGTGAGTAGGCCCAACGGTCTTACACCATCGCTGTGTGGGTGAAGTGGGACTCCGTGGCCGGGGCTCTGGTTGTTGTCTGCTAGTTGCTGCTGTTGCCGTGTCGTCGTCCCCCCCGCGACCCACCCCGAAACCCAAGCCGCGACCCACCCCGCGACCCACCCGCGACCCCCGCCTGGGGGGTTTACGTGCGGTTGCCCGCCCGCCCGATATCCGTCTCACTCAGAAGCCAGGCGAAGGCTGGCAAACCCGTGGCTGCTAAAACGGAGCTCTGTGCTCTGGTTCCCTTCCGGGCATCAGCCCGTTCACTATCTCTCACGCCGGGCGTTCTTCCGGGAATTCGTTTTGCCTTCCGGGCAGACCTTCTTTCGGGGGCCCCCAAACGGTGCGGTGACCACGCCGTGCGGTGAGTCGGTGGGAATTCGGGGTCACCGCACGGTTTTGGGACTCGAGTCGCTCTCCGAGGACGTCTCGGGCGACAGGGGCCCCCAGGGTCCCAAGGCCGTGCGGTGACGGGCCGTGCGGCACGGTCTCTTGGGGCTTCGAGGTCACCGCACGGTCTGCCACCGCACCGTTTCGGGGCTCCAAATTCTTAGCAGCCGCGGATGTTTGCCTGCCCTCGCCCCGCTTCCCGCCTCACGCCGACGGGCCCATTTTGTCTGGCACCAGTCGGAGCGCCGCCCCGGCGGCCGTTGCAGAGGGGGCAGAGGAGAGCGGCGCGCGGCTCGCCTCCAGACCCAGTCGCGCAGGGACAGCAGAACCAGCGAGATGTGACATCGTGCCCTGCATGGGCCCCTGCTCCCCAGACGTGATCTTCAGTCGGGCATGTCCCTCTCCAGGGGAATATCCAAGCATGGCCAACAAATGGTCTGGGGGCGATGTTTTGGCCATCTTTGGGCCTATAGGGGAGTCTTTTCCTGGTATCTGTTATTTGTCGTCCAAAATCCGCCTGTAGGAGCACACGCCCGACCTCAACGTGGTCGCGCCGCGACAAATCATGACGGGAAGCTCCTGGCAGCAGTCGCTCTTCCGGGGCCCTCGCCGGGCCCTGGGACCGTCAACTGAACGACCTGCAGGGGTGACAAGCCGCCCCGGGGAGAGAGGGTCGGGACTTCCGGGGACCGCGTGCGGAGCTAGGGGGCCACATGCGAACCCTGCCCCTACCCCCCACGATTTCTGAGGGGGAGGGTGGGGTTCACTTCGCTGGGGAACTCCGGAGTAAATCTGGACATCGTGCTTTGCCGTGTTCCCTGATTTCTCCGCGCTCCGCGCGGATTTCTTGAATCGGCGCGGGGCCTCCTTGGCAACGCCGCCCCTGGCGCGCTCCGCGCGCCTTGGAGGAGGGTACAGCGCCGATCCAAGAAGTCCGCGCGGTCCCCCAAGAATTTCTCGATATTGTGATCTGATCCCCTTCTTTCTCGTCCTCCTCCCCCTCCTCCTCCTCCTCCTCCTCCTCCTCCTGCTCCCTACCCCTCAAGCCATCTCGGCTCAGAGCATTTTGCCCTGAGCCAGCCCTCGCCTTCCCGTCGGCGCTTGAGGGACACCTGGCGGGGCAGAGGTTTCCTTCGCTCCAACAGGTTGACTAAGGAGGGCAGTCCACCTTCTTTTCTCGAGCCATGGGCAAAAAGAAGACGAGTGCAGCGACGGCTCCTACGCCTGGCACCACCGAGCCGTCCGAGTCGGGGTGGTCCACGTGTCAGCAGTGTTGGCGCCAAGACTGGAGACGTATTTTATGGAAGCAGCAATGTCGATGCCCGAAGTGTCACGCCGTCGTCACGTTGCATCGTCCTAAGGCCTCCAAGGGAGCCTCCAAGGGTGACGCGTCTAGTGGCAATCAGCTGGCACTGGCACCTCCGCCTCTTGGGACAGGATCAGCGGCAAGTTCGAGTACACCTTTGTCCGCATACGTGCAGGCGCTGAGTGTCACATCCGATCTTGCGATGAAGGCGGTCTTAGAAGCACACATCGGCAAGCTGAAGAGCGAGGAGATCCCGTCAGAGAAGTGCGTCACGCCAGAGGAGTCCCTCAGGTGGGCCACTGCCGCAGTGCGGGATGCAGCTACCAAGCATGATCAAGCATCAAGCAGTTTCAGCCCTCCTACGTGCACGTGAGGTGCTGGACAAGGCCACCGAGCGCGAGGCGTCAGCGGCGCTCGTCCTGGCCAAGGCGGAGAAGTCGAAACTCCAGGCTGTTCGTGCCCTCGCGGAGCTGAACGGTGTGGTCGCGAAGGGCTCCAAGGAGAGCCTCCGCACCAACGGGGGCGACGCCAAGAAGCTCATCTCCATCTCTTGGGACGAGGACTTCTTCAGCAACCTGGACGCGCTCGAGGTCAGCGAGACCGAGCGGGCAGACCTCAGGCAGCTGGAGACCGACCTGAAGGGGGTACGCGACCTCGTGGGCAACAAGTCCTCCGAGGTCGAGACCATGCTCGCGCGCATGGCGAAGATGCAGGAGGACATCATGACTCGCCTGGCTAAGAAACGGAAGGGTCTTGATGGTGACGCAACGGGCGGCAGCGTTGGCGGCGGCGCTGGCGCTGAGCCTGGAAGGACTCAGACAGGCGGCGCGGGGCGCACGGCGGAGGACACCGCCGTTGGCGAGGACCAGGCTGACGTCGAGCTCGCCGAGGAGGCGCAGCGCCTCAGCGCCGCCAAGCGCCAAGCTAGCCGCCGCCCAGGCCGCTCACGGCGCGGGCCTTGGCGGCCAGTGGTCCAAGCAGCGGGGCCCCTCGAGCGCGCAGTCTGCAGGGACATCGACTGCATCGGGTTCGGCCTCGTCGGGGACTGAGCAACCTTCGAGCGGTGAGACGCAGATTTTCCTTGCGAATGTGACTCAGCTTAGCCAGAAATCGTGGGGGGTTCTCACCAGCAGTAGGGCTGCCAGTTATCACATTTTTGTTTTAGTTGAGACTCACATCGGGTCCAAAGACGACATTTCTCGTTGGAAATCTGAGGCCTCCAATGCCAAGTTCAGATGCTTTTTGGATCCCGCCCGCGGCGCGGGAAACGGCACGACCCTGGCGGGTCAGTCTCGCGCCAACGAAGGGGGAGGGTGCATCCTAGCCAAGAAGCGCTTATCTGTTCATTCACTTGCCCAGGCCAGCGGGGCCTGGAAGGACCTTGCAGTCGGCGGTTCGGCCAGCCTCGATGGTTTGTTCTGCTGTAGTTTGCCATCAGAAAGGTTTCTCGTTCATCTTAGTTTTTTTTACGCCTACTCTGGCGAGGGGTACAGGGGCCGAAATCTTCCTCGGCTTGCTCGGCTCGGGGCGCTGCTGCAGCAGTGCCGCCTTCCGCGGGTCGTGGTCGGGGTCTGGAATCTGCCCCCCGAAACCCTTCAGCGCGTCGGTTTCGTAGATAAAATAGACGGCGTTATTTACAAATGTCCGCTTCAATACACTTGCTCACAAACATCTGGCGCACACATAGACTTCGTATTGGCTAGTAGAACCAGCGTGCCGCTTATGTCACGCCCCCAGGCGCGCGTGGACGTACCTTGGCGCCCGCGCTGCGGGCTGGTGCTGGCCCCTCGCGGCTCCTGCCAGCAGCTGCTTCGCCGAGGGCTCCGCATGGCGCCCACATTGCCGCAGGCCCCGAGGCCGAAGCAACTGCCACAAGTAGGGTCCAAGTCTAGCATGAAACGAGCTGCTGACGCTACGAAGCGCGCGGCTGCTCGTCTTGCGATGGACGATTGCTATCGCGAGCTGCAAGGCGATTTGAACGAAGATGACTCTCAGCAGAGTCAGCCGTCACGGCTTGCTCTCGGGGGCTCGGGCGACGAAGGCGGTTTCCTTGGGGCCCCTCTCTCGCTCGCCTCATTGGTGGGGTCCTCCTCTGGTGGGGCGCGGGGGTCCACGATGTCCGAGTCCCCTGGTTTCGATTCTGATTTTGGGCTCGATCAAGAAGCCCACGAGCCGCCTTTCGAGCTTGTCGAACCCGCCGATCCGCCCGCGACCAGCGGAGCAGACAGTGGTCCCCCAGGCAGTCAGCAGCTTCCCTCTCCGCCCCTCCCTCCCCTCCCGACCTTCCACGTCCCCGACGAGTCTTGGGAAGCTGCCGAGCGCGACGTGGGATGTGTTCCAGTGGGGTCCGCGCACGAAGTTTGGCCTGTCATTCGGGACTCTGGAGCCTACTATGTGGGGTGCGAGCACATCATGAGCGTGAGCGCACTTTACTCACAGTGGGTGCGCACCGTCGAGCACGCAGTCTCTGCGCATCGCGGAGAGCTTGAGCCAAGTCGATCT